CATAAAGACATTTAATTCCTTAAACACTGAATATTCTGTGGTGTAAGACTTTGTGTGTGTGCATTTCTGCGATGATACGAAGCATAATCAAATCACAGCTATGGATATTAAAGCCAAAATGAGGCTTGATTTTAGGTGCTTTGGGGTGTGAAACTTTGGACACCTTTACGAAATCTGATTTTCAGAGAGCAAGCGCTTAAAACGTCTCTCAAAACTGTGTCTTCTTAAAATTGCACACCCAGCCTAATGGTCACTTCTGAAGCCTTGCTGGCATACCCGGTCCTACCCCAGCACATCACCCCCCCAAACCAAAACCCCTACGCTCAGGGATTTTTTGTCACTGCTCTTATTTAACATGATTTGTTCGCTGGGGCTCAGAGCAAGGAAACCCAGTAAATAATACATTGGACAATCAGAGAAGATAACAAAAGGAAATAGTTAAGGTACTATAATAATTTTAGCCATTCTTTTTTCAGGTCACTATAATCTGCCCAAAGATAACTAATTGTTCAAAGTAAACATTCCACTCTGACCACAAAAGGAATCCATTACACAAACATATAATTCACAGTCATTTTTAGTGGGTTGTAAACAGTTTGGAATGAGCATAAAATGGGACAAAAATCAAAGTGAGCATTTAGAAATGAAAAAGTGTTTGCTACAAAAGGTCAGTCCCTTTACTTGGCAAAGTATGTAGAAAAGCCTGGGAAAATGTTGAACACACAAGCAGTAAGGGAATTTTAAAGCCAACAACCTCCCTGTTTCTTTAAACAGACATCGGAACCTATAACTGGATCCTGTCAAACAAACGACAGCAAAAAAACATAACAGCTGCTAAGAAGTAAAGTTGAAAGATAAAGTTTTCTAAGCTAAAGAACCTTCTCAGAAGTGGACTAAAGGTCTTTCTTAAATCTTTAAGCAAGGTTATGGATCCCAGGGTGGCTTTTAGGCACGGAATCAAATATGTAATTTTGTGTATCATTCCTGTCAGAGCATCCTGTGCTCCAAGAAAAGCAACAGAAAACAATGTCTGCAATGTCCAGTTTAGAATGGGAACGGTACCTGTAATCACCAGCTCTGCTGCCTGCAGGGTCACTTCTCAAGTCATTTGGGCTGATTTGAGAACACTAGCTTGGATTTGGGAATGGAGGGAGAAAATGAAGGACATTTCAAAAGAGAGATGAAAGTTCAATTCTATTTCCCTGGAGCGTTAGTACTGTATTTCTTTACAAAACCTAACCTACACTGGATATCCTCAGTAGGTTTAGGATACCGACTGCTTGGGGTGTTCGTTTACTCTGTCATTAGGCACGCAGACAATTGATCATCCCTAGAAAAGAGCTTTGTATCAGACTGTTTTCACACGATAAAACATTACTATGAGAAGTACCAGATAACATTTTGTTTAGGTGCAATGCAGACTGATATTTTTACTTTTTATGCGTTCTAATCATGCTTTTCATACATTAAAAAAAAGGGGGGGGGGAGGGGTTTAAAGGGTCGTGGATAACAAAATAAATAGGTGACTCAAGAAATGACTGGAAATAATATCTGGCCTAGAAACACCAAAAATCTTGCAATGGGCCCCACCCTTGGCAGGAGTGCACAGCATGTGAGTTATAGTACACTGGGAGGATCGTCCCAGGCTTTCTCTTCTCAGCTTAGGGCTGGAGCTACCTATCGGACACTTTCTGGGGACAGAGAAAAGCATGGAATACAGATTGAAAAAGGCAACTCAAGAGGTAGCCCCAGAAAAGCCTCAGGTAGATGTTGATGGCAAAGTAGAAGAGCACACAGGAAAAACAAGGGATACACTGAGCTATAAAAAACTTTCCCTCCAAATCCCTGAAAAAGTAGAATGTGAAGAAGAAATATTAGAAGTCTTTGAGCAGACGCTGTACTTCTTCAGTCTGATCATTCCACAGTACAGAATTATTCTCTTGTCCTCACCAGCTCAGAGCATGTATGTGGAAGGTTGTTTTTTCTGTTTAGGATGTTGAATGAGATACCAAGGGTACAAGACTTTTTACCTGGGTACTATTGACTTCAGTGGCACAGGTCTGTATAGCTAACTACTCAGGACAAGAAGTTCATCAAAAATTATGAATGAACAAATAATACAGAAAGAATGAAGAAAAAAAACCCCTGAGCTTGTTAAAATAAATTAAAAAAAATTAAATGTGACAATTGCCTTGCAAATTTACAAGAGCGGGCACATTTTTATTGAGTGTCTTTATGAAACTCCACTACCAGCTCTGCAAGATGGCCGAGTAAATTTAGAAAAACGTTTTGCTTTCCAGACCTATTTCAATAACTAAAAATGCCAAAAGAGGCTGAAAAATGTGGAACTCACTCTTGAACAAGTGAATCCTTGTTGGATAGATAAATATGCATTATGGTGTGAGAATTTTTAGACCAGACCTTATAAAGCACCCCTGTCCTGAAATGGTGAAAAAGTGAACAGTAGCCTAGGGGACAAATGACCAAAATCTGATCTAAACGGCAACAAAATAATTTCAGAATAATTCCTTTGATTTCAATATAGATATTCATTTAAAAATAGTGTAACTAAACAGGAAATGTTGCCCACAGTTAATGACACTCTCTGCATTTTTAATCTGTGGGAGAATATTACTACAGTAGGCTCTTGTATCTAACCTCATCTACACAGGAATATACATGAATTAATACGGTTTATTCAGATTTAGACTTTCTGCCCCAGTGAGAATGTTTTAAAAATCAGAAAAAACAATAGAAAACCAACAGGTAAATAATATTTAAAACCACGAGCTGATAAATGAGAACACAATAGTTTAGCAAAGTACGAATGTTTTGTAAGCAACATTTAGAGTCAGTCTCCTAAGGTCTTTTTTCCTAATAATCCTTTATCTTAAATGAAGCACGCAAGTAACATTTTTGGTACAGTTACAGTACATAGATGATATATTTTCTAAATAGGGAAAAAAAAAAAGCTTTTCTACAACAGCCAATATGCCAGCTGTACTGAGTATCTAGGCCATCTTACTAAGACTAGGAAAGTAAACATACAGTTTTCATTAAATGTGCCTTTCCCATAATTGGTACGTAAGTATTTCCCATGACTCTGCAGTTGAGTATCTTGGCTGGAGGCATATCTGGCCATTAAGAGGAGGGCTTCAGATCTGTTGAGTCTCAGCCATGCCGGGAGACTTGGCACCTCCACATACTGCTTCCTAATACCAACCCCGGTAGAAAATGTCATCAGAAGCTTGCATAAACATTGGACTTAGTTTCACATAAATTACTGCTGTCCTGAGATAGTTTATGCCAGAACTTAGTAAAAACAACACTTTGAGTAAATAGAATGGGGGGAAATGCAAGCATCTTAATCCAAGAAAATGATAATAGAGAAAGCTATATATCAAATATAAACTCATAAATACAGCGATAAAATGAAATTTTTATCTCATGCCTTATAATTAGCTCTTATTTACGTATTAGACCAACTAAAAGGGGTAGACTTCTCTAAGTCACAGCAAGTCTGAAGAACAAGAACAATAATGCAACACTCCAAAAGATGAACTCCTTTGAAGGAACAGGGATATTTTCATTTTCTTCCATGAACATTTCTCTGATAACTACACAGACAATAAACATTTAATTAGGTTTCCTGGATTTTTCTATTACAGTTCAGCAGTGCAGAGACCTCTGGCCTGCCTCCTCCTGGAGAAGTGGTCAGATACCAGCAAACCTCTATGAAATATCCAGTGCATCTTTTAGAGAACCTTGGCTAGGATCGAAACCGAACAGTCAATTAGACATGTTCTGCATGGCATGGCATTTTTATAATCTAATCTCTGCCTTTCCTTCTCATGTTCTGAATTTCTCCTCACAATTCCTCCTCTATTAATAGTCACTTCACACATTTCTCCCCATCTTTGTCTCTTTTCTTTACCCAGCCTCCAGCATTCCTCCAAAAAACCAATGCTGCTATCTCCCCCTACCGAATGATCTCCAGTTTGTTCGTCTCTGACTTCCTGCCAAACATTCTGGGAATAATAATATCCCTGTGCTCTTTGTGCTATATAATTAAAGCATGAATTTACCAGAGTTTGAAACTCCAGGGTAGTTTTATTGCACCTTTTGCTATAAAACCAGGTAACAATGATGAAATTAAAGTAGCTTTTTCCTTTGTGGGTAACGGTCTAAGTATCTGTTTGTTTTTCATTGGTTTTCTTGTTCTGAGGCTCCAGTATATGGCAGTGACAATGGGTTCACCCAGCCTTATTCTGAAAATAAATTTTCTATCTTTTGCAAGATATATGTTTCCCCAGATCCCTGGAACAAGTTGTAAACTTGTAACAGATGGTGATGAAGCCTCACATTTTTATACAATACATTTTAAGATTCTGCATCTACCGCATGTACCTTCCAAAGAAAATGACCTTCAATGAGAGAAGATACACTCTGAAGAAAGGAAGGCAGGCACCGGTGTTAAGCACATCTTTTTATACCACAACAATCTTTCTTATTAACTTAATCAAAACTTTTAATGAGGATGAATACTCGTTCCAATATTCTTATAATATTATGGCTTTTTAAAATAACTGCAAAAATTAGACACCTGCACACATTAAAAAAAAAAATATGGTCACATTAGAATAACATTCATTTTGGTTGACTACAATTCAGGACTTCAGAAAAAGTATTGGCATTACACTCACCAGAGACTTCAGAATGAAAGTTGCTGACATTTTATTGATGTTTAGCATTTACTTATCCAGAGAAAGACTAAAACAACAACATGTCAAACAAAATATAAGGAATAATTGGCATGAATGGGTTCTATTAGTGTTTTATCACAGAAAGAAAATGAAGATACAGAATGTGATACAGTTCAGTCCATAACTATATTCTAAATTGAACTGCCTGCCTACCCTGGCAATGTGAACAGATTCACAAGGTTAAAGTTTTGATTACTAATAGAGAAAAAAAATAGTGTTAAATATTAAGGTACTCACCTCTTTTTTCAACAGCTTTTATACACAGTCTTACAAACTGGGGGACTGTAGATTTCTCGTGCTCACACACCAAGTGCAAATGTGAGCCAAAAATTTGATCTACATTTGGAAAAAAAGAGGAAAATACATTAAAGCACATTATTAGCAGTAGGATTTTTCTCTCTTCTGAGCTTTAATATGAGTTAAAATCTCAGCTATCGAAGATGGACAGACAAGGTTGGAAAGAAGTCCTTTCAGTCATCGTAGTTGTTAGTGTCTGCACAGGACCAAACCTCTCGATACCTGCTGCCCATAGCACTCGGATATTAACCCTGCACTCAAGTTTCAATGGCCATTTAGACCTTGTCCTTTCTAAGGACTGGATGCAGCAGTCTCTGGAGTTGACCAGCCACAAAAAAGTGAAGGCCATGCTAGAGATACAGCTTCTTGTAGAGATACAGCTGTCTTGTTGAATCCCAAATCCTGCATGATGTTAACTGTTGGTCCAGCCTTGGAGCTCCTATTATTGGGTAGCCTCCATGCATAGAGTTTCAGACTTGTCATAGAGTATGGTAGGGATATAAGGGCTTTATTACTTTGAATGATTAGGACTTAGTAAAATTTCATCTCGTCTTTGCAAGAGATTGGGGGTTTCTTTGACACCAAACTGTCTCTTCAAAAAATAGAATGTACTAGTCATCTTTTGACGAGGATTGCATCTTACACAGAGGTTTACTTGTGATTGGTGTTATTTTTTTAATGAATAATAACTTAAGTAGATAATCTTACCTTTAAGATTTTATGATTCTAAAGTTTTGAGCAACTTTGAATGTTAATCTTAAAACATATTTATATAAGCAGGTTAAACTCCTCAGATTACTAATTAGCTTCCTCCACCTCATCTCCACTCAATATGTTTGAGAAATTATGAAAAGAGCAATCAGTAATGGGGCTGTTGTCAGCTCGAATCAAAATGAATCAAGCAGATGAAAGAAACTACTCAATAGGAGCCAGTTAAATGCTCAAACAATAGGAGCGTACAATCATAATTTATCCAAAGAGACAGTCTCCATATAGCATTTCAACAGAGTACTACATTTTGGGACTTGGCATAGAGGCTTTAAAATTTTTTTGTATAGATAGCTGAGGGGTGTTAGCACAAGCTCGGGCTCTGCAGAGCAAAGCGAGCAAGCACGCTCACCCACAGATCAGCAGGAGCTCCTGCTGTCCTCCCCAGCTCCCATGGCACTGGAGATTTCCTCCATAGTCAGCCCCACCATCTTCCACCGTAACCAGTTTGACTGCTGCTTTCTCCAGAAAAACCCCGCACCTTTTGCTCACTAATAGGCAAAACCCCATTTGTTTATTTTCTGCTTTGCAAGGGTCTTTGCTTTCCTGTTGTTAATCACTATTATTTCTTACTAATCTTAGATTTCACAAGGAACTCGCTTACCTTTTCTTTCCTAATACCTCAGCATAGTGAACAATCATGGAAACAAGGTGGGGTGCATGGGATGGTTTGGATTTCTCGATATGTATTAGGGAAGTTTATTCCAGCACCCCCCAACGCATGTGGTCTGCATTCTGGTAGAGTACATCAAAGCCTGAATGTGAGTTGGATTTTGGGCTGCAGAAGGGATGGAGAACTGGGTTCACAGCACTATGCCGAGGAAGGTTGTGTGCGTGTGTGGCGTTAAGCATTAGCGAACAGTCTGTTACATGTTTTGGGGTTATGTTTCTGACAAAGCACAGTCTGGTTACATTTTCTTCATAAAACATTTATAGCTGCCTTCAGTAGTAATTATATATACAGAGATTTATGATTAAAATGTACTGGTGCTTCCTCTTTCGACATCTTAATTGTTTTTTAAATTTTAGTAAAGACCTGTCAAATTCTTTGCATAGTACGGAATGGTCTCAGATGTAAATTATGTTAAAAGAAGTAAAAAAAAATGTATCTTATTTGGTGGACAAAGACACTTGCAAACAATTTCAGAATCAAAACAGGAAGAGAACTACACTGTGTTTAGATGGCAATATATGAAGAACTGAGACAAAATTAATGCATGGATGTTCAGCAGCCTCTCTTCTCTATATAACCACTTTATAACCAATTTACAGGATTATTTTGCAGTCACTCTTTCAATCCCCAGTACAAATACAGAATACTTGGTATTCTTGGGAGGAAATTTTGAAAAAGCTGGAAGCTTACACAATTCTCACCTAGTCCATTACTCCTTTTCTGGGTGCAGAATCTGTATCTTCTCCAGCAAAATGTTTAACCTCATTTTCCTTTTGGTATATGGATATAGCCACATTCTGTATCTTGCAGTTAAGCTTTAGAACACCTCTTCTTAACAAATAGGCACTCAAGGTTTTTGTCTTCAATGGAAGGGGCAGCGAATCAGCACTAATAGTTGCTGGGCATCAAGAGAGGCTATGGTAAAACAACAACACACAACTACTTTGTATTTTTTTCTCCCCTTCTAGAAATTCATGAGTATTTATAAGTACATGATCTTGTGAGTCATCCAAATAGTCTGAATTCTGGGTACTCCTGAACCGCAAACTCCATGATTCTCTCCAGTCAATTGATTTTTTGCTGAATCTGTTTCTGTGCATAAACATGGGAATGGCAGTAGTTACACTGCCATATTTACACTCTTAGAGGTCACAGGGATAGTTGAGGAAAATTCAGTTAATGTTTGCTTGTGCAGTCCTTTGAAAACAAGGAATTATAGGAATGTCAAATTACTAATTTTTGTAAACTAGGTTTAAGTGTAACTAATATTAAAATATTATTTTATTCTTCTTTTATAGGTGTGTATATACATTTTAAAACTAGTTTAAGGGTAAATTATCCAGAATATTTTTTCAAGAAAATAAGAACTGCTCCCAAAGGGATAAAAGAAGTAAAAAAGCCTTTGTTTGAATTGCTTGTGATAAAGCCCTTCAAAACTTCACTTTTTATGAGTTGAAAAAAAAAAAAAAGATGTACACAACACTCCTAACCTCCTGTTATGACAGTTTATGTTTCCTGTCCAGCTTATTTAACTCAAATGCCTGGGAAATAGACACAATTACCACCTTATGGAATGCTACTTAACTTTAAATGCTCCCCTATGAATAGAAATCCACTTTATCTTCTCAGAGTTATTCCAGTTTCTCAGGAATTATTTCCTCTATAGGGTCCTGAAATGCTCTTGTTTCATCATCTAAAAATTTAAACTAACAATCGCTCCGAAATATCTTTTATTAGAACAAAGGCAATTCCCATACAGTGGATTCTGTTCACAAGAGCTCGTACAAAGGAGCTGCATACTATGCCCATATACAGCTTTAATCATTCACTCTTTCAGCTGTTATCAATTTAAAACCAATGAAACTCCCACACTGAGTCCATTTGAGCAGTCAATTTTAATATCTTGGGGCATCTGTAGTTATTCTGAATTGGCTGCAAAAGCAGAACTAACAAGTTAAGCTCTAACCATAAGTCTACATCAGGCTGGTAAACCATACATCAAACGCAGACAGTTAGTCAATACTGTAGGACGAAAAACCAACAAGCATTTTTAAGAAGAGCAATATATTCATAATATGTTTGGTGGTATGGTTTACATTACATATCCTCGATATCTGCGCATTAAACTCTCTATTTAAGACGGTGAGGTGTGTGACAGCTTTGCACAGGGGTATAAAACGAGACACCAGAAGAGGAGGGAATGGACATTTGCAAGTTGTATAATATAAAATGATGATTACAGCTGCAATGAATTGCTTGTTCTGGTGAGCTTCAAGCTTTCCCTGAGCCTGACAGAGATACTTTTTTTTTTTTTTTTTTTGAGTAGCTCTCACAGGCTGCAGCAAAGCCACTAATTCGGAGCTGCAGAAATCTAGTCTATGGGAGAGAATACTTCTGGAAAAGAAACAATTAAAACAAAATCACTAAAGCCACATCCTCACTGAGAATGTCATTGTTTAACTGGTTTTGGTGTACATGGATGAGATGTGGCCACACTTGGAAGGAACTCAGACTTCAGTGTTTTTTATTAAAAAAACAGGGCATGGCTAATATTCCTATTTCTCGGGAAGAAGCTCAAATTCTGACACGAGAAGAGAAGGTATATTGCTGTAATGCTCAAGTTTTTAGAAAAGTGAATTATATTTATGCAGTGCAGTGCCTTCCAGGAGCAGAGTTAACTCTACTACATCTGGATTTGAACTGCTGGACCAGAGCTCTGTATCAACATCTAAGTTGTTTGTTTTCTTTGTGTCTGTTTGAATGCTGGGAAGGAAAAGGGGGAAAGAGAACGAAAAGGCAAAATAAGAGAGGAATGTACAGAGAGAGGGACAGAAGAGCAAACACCACAGCAGCGAATTTTTTGGAGGGGGAAGGGATGTGGTTGGAAAGGGCCTTATTTTGAAAGGTGACTTCTAGCTGCTCAATCTGTAGTCAGGCATATTAAGGCAGACATGAAAAGGATCCCAGACTTGGGCTCCAAATAACGCCATGGTGCCTTTACAATAAGTTGTCCAGGTCCTCAGCTGATTGAAGTCAACGAGGTTGTCAATGGAGCTCCCCTGATTTATGCTAGCTGGGAATCTTGCCAGTCCTTTTAACTTGGAGATTTACTATATATCGTTGATCTGTGGTGGTCATCAATTTAAAAAAAAATTACATTTGTGAACAGTTACTCTTAAGTGGCATATGAGCTACCAGATTTGTTTCACGTTCTCAAAGAAAAGGGAAAATACAGAGTACTACAGACACTGGTCTCTTTTGAGAAATGATGATGTTTTACTGGGGACAAGAGCCCATTTGAATTCAAAGATAATGAGTTTTCTGTGCTCTTCAAAATGGGTCTCCAAAAATTAGATGTTTTAGAGTTATCAAAATAATTTCTGACCACCACATCAAAGGAAAAATTCTCTTTATCCAGTGTTTGGCCATTTACAAGGTTTGGGAAACGAACTTCCAAAAGTCCGTGTAGTGGTTAGAGAAAAAAAGAAATACCCTTGTGACCCACTGTCCCTACCAGTCAATGGAAACATTTCCTGACTTTCGCTAATTTATTATGGGCATCAAATCATTTGCTAAATTCCTGCATAACACAGAAGAATTACAAAGGGCACCAAAGGTAAGTCTTAATCTACTCTTCTGGAGTTCTCATGAGCGTTACTCTCCTTGCATTGAACTATTCCAAGGACTGTTGAGACATATAAGACAATAAAGACTTTTCCCTTGTCTGGAAATAAAATGGTTGGTGATCTCTGAGCTGCTATCTGCACAACCACCAGCATATGTTGAGCTCTGTTCTATAGGCTATCAAGCCAAATCACAGCTAGTTCCTTTCACTAGCAATTGAGTGGCTTTTATTTTCATCTTGAAACAGTTGTAACCATTCCAATTTTTGTGCTGTTTTGGTTCTTGCCTTAACTTAACTTGCAAAATAAGTTCAGTGAAGTTCCTTAGGTGTCTGGCTTTTGGGGGAAAAAAATCCACCCCCAAAAGACCTAGATGAATTTCTTGCTGGCTGCATAGCTGCATCTTCCTCATTTCCCACAGTTTTTTTTATGTTGTTACTCATGCTTTTTTACCATTTACAGAATGTGTATTTTGCGACAGTCCATTACTAACACAACCACTATAGCTTTAAAACCAGAGTTTCACAGAAGGTGGTGTTTTTTGGTTTTTTTTTTTTTTTGGTGGTTTTTTTTTTTTTTTTTGTGGACTAGAAAGGCTCAGAAATCAGGAAGTGAGCAGGCCAATATCAAGTTGAAGGTTGGCAATTCATTTTGGGTAATATTAAATCATGACAAAGCTCAAAGATAAAGATCAAAGTTCAATTATAGACTATAAAGTAGTTATAAAAGAGAAGATTTATATATTATTTTTCTAGCATATTAGTGCAGATTCTGTAAATTCTGAGAATATTTCAGTCCTGAGGAACTGAGGACCCCTGCCCTAGCGTATAAATTTGAACAGAGTTATTCTCGAAACAACACTGTTAAAGTGGCAGACATGGAACATGCCTTTTATTTACTGTTTTGAAGTTTGCATGCACGTGTGGATGGATGCAAACAGAAGTGCACACATGGACGCATACATATTACACAACAGTACTGTATTACACATCACCTCAAAAACTACTCAAAATGCTCCTAGACCAAGATATTTTATGTAAGCACGAGTGAGACGGAACAAGAAGGACTGCCGATCTTCATTAGAGCTCTTGCTGGAGCAAGTCACCAGCCCATTGTAATGAATGGAGCCAACGTGCTGTTCCCATTCTGGCTTCTTTTACGCAAAGGACTAGAAAGCAAATGGGACGGCGATGACAAAAATAACTTTTTGTCATGTAAAGCGTTGGCGCATCTTCATTTTCGGATCAACACGCAACTAACATTTACACTTTGGTCTGCTACATTCCATCATCTGATTATTATCCTCCTACTTCTTATTTTCCTCATTTGTTAACTACCAGCTTTACCACACGGATATTTGCTACCTCCTACATAAACAAAGTTTTGTGAAGAGTTAAATGACAATCACATAATTTCTAGATTTCCTGATAACAGTGTTGGCAGAACAAAGTACCCCAGGAGATCAAACTGCTATTAAATTTTGAAGCCTGCATTCCCAAATTTGGTTAGTGCGGAGAAATGTGTTGAGTCTTCTGGCCAAGTGTGTACACATCAGAAACTAACAGAGCACAGAACTGTGTTTAAGTGAACTTACCACCTTAAAATATATTTACTCATAGCTATAATTTACGTGTTAAATTTATTGGAGTTTTGGTTCCAACGTGACATACAACGTAAAAAATCAATATAGATTTGAGAGCTTTATAGTGCCCCTGGCAAATATGAATAGCACTTGATGAAAAGTGAACGTTTTCACAGCACCTACAGTGCCACTGCATTGGAGTAATTAACACCACACACTTCACTGATATTTATATCAATTCTTCACCAGCACACAGAACAGCTCTTTGTCAGAAATTCCGTACCGAGATGTCCTGCAAGGCTTTAGACACACTTTTATTATGAGCCCCTATTTTAAGGGATTTACAATTCTGACAGAAGTATTTCCCTATGGGATAAAAGTTAGTATGCATGTTCTCAGAGCTGGAGGAATTTTTTTCTTGTAAAGATTGGTTAATATTTTTTTTCCCTTAAGAAACGAGCAAATAAATAGTTTTGAGAGGTTTCTGCAGCCATTTAAGTCACCTTTAGAAAAATAAATTGATGCATCTTATAATACAAAATTTGGCAAGCTTTTCATTTTCAATCTGGATGGTTGCATTCTGTGATTTAAAAATATTCTAATGTGATCCTAAAAATTAACATTTAAAAGTGGTCTCTGTCTAAGCAGTGCAACTGCATTTTCATAACATTTTAACAGATTAAGGGATAAACTCTGCAGAAGACAATGAAGGAACCTTATCAAATAAACATTTCACATAGACTTACCGTAGACTGGAATTAAGCTGTGCTAACGAATCCTGCCTCATTTGCATGGCCGAAACCTAATCCTAATGAAACTTCATGGTAGATAACTAGAATGTTTTCTTCATGGTAACATTAGTTTGGTAATAAAACTGTGCTGCCGGGTACCAATTCTGAATTACCATGTCACTAATCATGCATCTTTGTTATCCATGGAAGAGTATCCCAGGTAGAACCAAGCCATGTTTATGAATCAAGAGCTTAATGCAACTGTAGCCAAAACCGAATGCATTTGGCTTTCCTAGAGAGATGTATTAGGGGATGGATTTGAGTTATGCTAATGAATCTGGATTTGTTAGCAGGGATCACATCTGATCCCTGTGTAACACCACAGGAGATTCATCAGCCACACTTTATTAAAGTAAAAAAACCCCACCCCTTAAATCCAGAAATTAAAAGACTATAAATTACTACTCTATTACTGTAATAACTGCAACAAACTAATATGACGCATTCAAATCCCACCCTCAACCCGCCAAGAACTTCAAAGAGGTAAAACCCTTCCATATATTGAAATCAGATAGTATGAACGTTTAAAGACAGATCCTGAAAGTTTGGTGTGTGTGTGCGCACACCTCACACCCACGTCTTTATGCATAAATGACATTTTTTAAAGTGTCTGTGGCAGTTAGAAGGAGAAGCCCATCGCCAAGGCACATCGTGATTCCATAGAATGAAGATTTCCTTACATTAGGCAACATTGCACTGAACATTCCTGCATGTACCTAAAACACAAGAACATAATTCATAAAAATCTCTGCGGACACGGGCCCAGCTGGTGTTTAACTCTTGTGGCTGCTTGAGATTTTGCTGGCTGGGGTCAATCTCTTGGCTCAGGCCAGACAAGTTTAATACACACTAGCAACACCCCTTGCCATTTTTGACACACCACTGGAAAGCTCACACTCCACAGATTGACAGGGGCTGCTGGAAAAATGCCTCTTGTGAGTCAATTTGCTTGTGCAGTTGTGGGTTTCACACATAATAATTTGGGAGTGTGTAAATTTTTAAAGCATTATTCCAGACAATATTTAAAAACATGGCTTTCCATGATTATTAGTGGTCAGAATGCTACTGCCTTTCAACTACCAGCTTCTTACCAAAACGCTTACTGCTTGGATAAACTGACAAACACGTTTTATCAGAGAAACGAGTTTTTAAGGATATGTGAAAGTGATGGCTGGCCAGCTTAGCAAGAGACTGGAGCAGGAAAAAATCACAGATTCAAAGCATTTATTATTCACTGGCACTGGTATTTTAAGTTGTTAAAAATGTATTTTAATTTGTTAAAAATGTATTTTGTTGGCGAGTTAGAAAAATAATGAGAGAAGACAACAAGAAAGTATTCCAGCCTACCCTAGAAAATGAATTAGTCAGCACAGCAGCTGAAGTTCCTACTTCTGATTCTAAAATATAAAACTATATCCACATTCTTTTCTCAAAAAGAAATGGAGTTGTGCAGCACGTTGATTTGCAATGTGCATGGCGAGTGCCTGTGTTAGATGGAGGGGCTTCTACCACATGCACATCACAGCAGAAAAATTGAAGAACTAGTCAGATAGCACAGAGATAGATGTAACCATATGTTGATATCTTTTCTTTACAGTTCAGCAGTGTAAATTTTACAAGATAGAGCAACAAAACCATATCTAAGAAGTATTTGTCCAATGCCCTTATTCAGTTAACTGAGAATGAAAAACTCAGTTGTGAATTTTTACTTTTTACTCCAAAAAAAGTATATAAGACTGAACACACCTTTAATAAGTCCCTTTTCTTGCAACGTTTTCAAGGAGGGTCTTCGGGAGATGAACTTCTTTAATCTGCTTTTAACTCGGTTTCTGTCATTTGTGTCAGAGGCACTGTAGTTCAGCCTGAAAACTAAAAGAAATCAAAAGAAAAAGCTTCAGTGAAGCGATATTTTTAAACGAATAGTGGTTTGCTCAAATATCCTTAGAAAATAAAGGCCAAAGCCACCCTAGTAAAATCATGCGGTAGGTCAGCAGTGGAGCTGGTTGGACAGTACAGAACATCTGATTAATACTTTTGTGAATAAACATGATGAGTTCACTCTGCTGGTTATTCACGGAGTTATATTATTTATTGCCCATAAAAATTTGGATGGCAACCAGTTTACTCATGAAATGTTCACGAATCCCACAAGTTTCACATGGATGATTTTTCAGTTAAAACTCTGGACTCGAAGTATGCTATGCACTATTAGCTATGGACTACTTGTTAGGAGAAAGGATGGATGGTTACACCACTAGTGAAGGACTGAACTCTCTTGCCAAGATGGATTAAGCGCTATATATATATTTAATGCAGTTATAGAAAACATGGCTATACGCCATGAAATGTGTGCAAGATGCATTAATTTATGGAAAGAAAGTATTCCCCTCCTAATGATTATATTTTATTATATTTAGGCATATACCAAACTGAGAAACATTTTGAGCTCGATTTATTCCTGTTCTGTGTCAAAAAGACGTAGAACCCAGCTGCAGAAAATCCCCTGGAAGAAGTTTCAAAGGCATAAATTTGACTTTTTCTCTGCTGAGGTGCTCACAGGGCACCATCATAGCTAGAAAAACAGACAGCATTAGTAGGAAGGAGAAACTCAACACCCGAGGCTGGCTGCTACAGAAGCAGCAGTGATGCCATGGGGAGACCAAAGGTTTTCCTGAATGCACAGATTTTTAAAGTTTTCTAACAAATCACCTGAGTTTCACCACCTCTGAACAATCCTTATCCTGTATCCTGGGCTCTTTCATCCTGCCCATTCCCCCAGATGCTGAGCAGGAAAATGGGGCAGACAGAAATGTCCAACCTTCTCTAGCAAGGACCTTCAACTGAGACGGCTGGACTCTGCTTTTTGTGGAAAGAATAACTTTCCATCTTCTCTTGAAAATAAATAAATACATACATACATACATACAGAAATAAATAAATCCACCAAGACACAGTATCCTCCACAAGCTGAACTTGCAGGAGTTGGTCCATTGTCCCTCCAAAAGAATTTCTAAATACTACTCAGGATATTTAGTTGCTGTTACAGAGATGTTCCCTAATCTCCTCCTCCAGACTGAATCTGCTCTGTAACAGAATGATCTTCATATGGGCAAACCAACAGAAAGAACAAAAAGAGAATTTTCCTTGATATTATTGGACTATTTTGTGGTAAGAAGTTTTGCATAAAGTTATAACCAGCACCAGAATATTTAAAGGTGCACAATTATAAAACAATGTCAAGCTAAAATAACCGGTTAAGCAACAGTAACAACGCTGGAATATTGTGGTTTACATTACAAATCTGATTTTAACAGCCAAACTTATAAAATGGTTTACGCTTTGCTGTTGTCAAGGGAGAAAAACTTGCCAAATTGTTCATTTTAAGTAAATAGAACATAGCCAATTAAGGAAAGCAATATTTAAACACATGCCTACGATGATCAGAGCATAGTTTGCTTCTGATTTCACTACTGATTTTAACAGAAGAGTGCTCCATTTTCCCACAGCACTAAAATGACCCCACACATACTTCCACAAACTAGTAATCACACAGGACAAATAAAAGGACACTTTACTGGAAAATACATGGCTTGGTACAATAATCCATCACTTATGAAAAATAGAATTCACATTTTTTAATAGTAGCATTCTTGGAGTGATGTATCATAGAATATAAAGATTAGCATTCAATTGATGGTTGGTGCTTTTTTAACATTATAGCAGAGGACTTTTTGTTCGAAATTGAGCAATCCTTGGCAGGGACAAGTTAAAATTCCAAGTCACTTGGCTGTGCTATAAAAAGAACAACAAATGGATGTTTCTAATTCTACATCTTAATGGTACTTTGAAACAGTGAAGGGAATTGTATTGAGTTTGGGGGCTCTCTTGTTTCTTAGGGTCATTCTGTCCATAGCGACTCATATTTAGGTTTGCTTTTCCTTCACTTACAGTGAAGCTTCCTCAGTGCAAATGATGCAGGAGTGAAAACATCACTTAAGATTACTGCTACATTTCTCATTTTACGGGACTCTGAAAGTGTGCCCCAGATTTAAGATATTGTAACTGAAGTGGCATGGGCATACTGTCAATGGTAGGACACGGGATCTAGGACTCGACAGCAGGGTAAAGATACCTCTGCTTAGAAAGATGCATTAACCCAGCTGGAAGTTTTATATTTGTAACAGCAATTATGGTGTTAAAACTACATCTAGAGGTAGGAATAATTATTGTCGTGGATACTTTTGTATGTTCTGTGTTGAGTTTATAGCACATAGTTAATAACAGCAACAAAGCTAATTTTGATGAATTTCTTACTTTATTCTATTAAACATGTGTGAGTCACCAGAGGGAAACTCCAAACCTCCCAGAAATTCAAGGGTTTAGATAACATGTTCCCAAACCAAACTTAGCCAGAAATATTCTTGTTGGTATCTCCCTTAGAAATACTGCCTCTCTTGCCAAACCATTCTTCTCGCGATATCCTCACATTAAAATTACTTTCTTATTATATTTGGAAGTACAAAGAGGACCAAATGTTACTTCCAAGGCGGGGGGGGGGGGGAAGTAGTTATAAAACTCAAAAACCACAATAAATATTTTTTTGGAATACCTTCCTTTTTAAGTTTGAGGTTCTCAATCTGGCCAGAAGAATCCTCCATGAGAGAAAACTGGCAAACCTCAAACAATATAAAAAAGTGGAAAGCAGTTCCATACAAAAGTAAAAGAGGGCATGTAAGGACACAAGTATAAAATAATAGGATATAAAATCCCCTGTTTGTTCTACTGTGTGTTCCGTGACATAAGCTGCATAGGTATGCAATTTGATTCATTGTACTGAATAAACACATATCCTCAATTTCTGAAGCTGCTCACACCGACATACCCACATAAATGCTTCAGAAAGTGAAATGTTTTAATGTGTTCTAAACAGCCCCATATTTCATTGACAAGATTTTGTAGGTCTGTATAACATGATCCTACATTCCTCCCGATGACTTTTATTTCCCTCTTCATTTACAAAACATTTATACATAATCCCAAGGGTTTACCTATGATTAATTCCTGCCAGGTACAGTGTATCTGAACACTTCTAACACGTTGAAATAATTGGTTTTTGAAGAACTATCCATTAACGACTTTCTGAACAGTGACAATGGATATTGACAGTGCTTGTCAGACTAAAGCACTATTGATTGTCTCACCTCATGTGTATAGCAAAACCAATTTCTTCCAAGTACCTCTTCCTAACTGAAATACATTGCCTATCTGTTTATTAGAACACCAAAAAATTATCATATGGAATTCATTTGGATGGAAAGGGCTCGTACAGAATGAGCAGCAATGGGAGTGGATAAGGCATTAAGACATTCAAACAGGTTCACTTTGGTACCTTCTCTTCCATTACCCTTGTTCTGCAGGAAAAAAACCCACAACTAGTCTGGACCGTGTGATTTATTTTTTTTTTAATACTCTTGAAGGCTTTAAAATTTTGAGAAGTTCTTAGTAGAAATGGAGATCACGTGTAGTATAACGATAACACCCCTAAGTGGAGATTTAATACTTCTTTTCCCAAGTAATACTGAAAGTGGCAAGCTTGACCACTCAAAATACAGAATACACTGATTGAAATCCTAGCTGAACTTTCTTAAAACACATATGAACAGATTCATGGTCTTAACTCTGATCTCTGACATTTTTAAGTGCTTTACAGACTCATACCCAGAGTCCTCAGCAGCATCTTGCAGGACTGAATCCAAGCTGAGGTGACAAAAGGGGAGGTAAAAGTAGGTCTCTATGGCTGCGGATAATGAAAGTGCCAGTCCAACAGTAGTACTATCACATATGTGCAAAAATATTAATTTAAAGGAATTAATTAGTTAATTAATTAATTTCAAGTAATGGGAATGCTTAATTGCCGAGTGTCTCATCCTTCTGAAGAAATATTTCTTAACATGCAGAGGCGTATGATTATGCCTACATTCTAGGAGACACTAATTTAAGAATATATATAACAACTCATGACTTTAAATTTTATTGGATTTCATTGGAACTCAGAATTCAACAGATTCTTCAGATTTTATTGGGGCTGTAGCAGACTTAAAACTACTGCTAGTATTTAAGGAAGTGGCATTATCACTTGTATAAACAGTCAGTTTTTCAAACAGCGCCAAAGTTTTAAGTGACAAAACCAAGTCTCTGCGTCCTTCCTTTTCTTTGTGATGCTCTGAGGTGGATTGAGCTAAAGACTTTTGTCGGTCATCCTGTTTTGTCCCTTAGTGAAATCCCTGGGCAGGTCTCATGAGTTATCCCCAAGCTATAATTACTAAATCTTTTCTGTAAGAGTAAAATGAGAGGTAGATACGCGGTCTGCTTAAAGGCACTACACAAATGATTGGTGGGGAAAATGCAGGAATCAGGCATTACCTCTAATCCCTGTGTTTATGATAAGCCTTAAAATTACAGGTTTTGTGACTACAGAGTGTAGACCCAAGAACTGCAGCATCGGGTGACAGAATGAGTATCACCAGCCAGGAGATACCAGGAAGATTTTGCTTGCACGGGCACCAAAGGACCTGAAGTTATTGAGGTTTATGGTCTTAAAACAGATATTTGCAAGTACATCTGCATTTGCAAATGTTGATGAAGCAAGCTCAGAAATAAACAATAGGAAAAAAACCCAGTGATTATATAGCACAAATAATTTTTCTGTAATATGACAGCCTAACAACTTAAGTGCTCAGTAGTGTCATTACACTTTGTGAAATTTGTGTGCATTAGCAGTAAAGATTCAATAAAATTGCTGTATAATTCATATTTTCCATCATGGTCTGATGCATATAAACTTTTTTTTAAAAAATTTTGTCCCCTAC